GGTGTGAAAAACAAGTAATTAGTTGAAATTACTTATATATCAGAGCAAATTCCAATTGTTCCGACTGCCGTTAAATAGAGCTGTAAAATTAAAAAAAATTGGAAATTTATAGAATTAGGACAGTATCGCAGATCAACTGTGAACAAAATAGTAACTATCCTCAATTCAGTTGGAACTTTTTTTTTTGTGCGAGAAAGTTAGCCACGAATAAACATTTCATCTTAACCCTTGTTGACCAAAAATGCTAATCATACATTTTTCATATATGTAAAAATTCTAATCAAACACCTTTCTTTCAATTCCATTTGTTTTCTCAAACTTTTGGGATTTGCTTGTGACCGTTCGGCGGCAATAAACATGGTTTACTCAAAACTTGAGTTAATAAAGGTGTAATTGTCTCGCATTTACAATGCATAAACGACCTCTGAATTGTACAGGGGTTTTTTGAGACAAATCACATACTGAAAGCATCAACTTTTTAAATTTTCGGATAACTTTCAACGATGATTTTTTTAAAATTTGAGTTTTTAAATTATCATACCTTGATCAAGACATACATAAGCATTCCATACAAATAATAAGAGTTTCTAGCGGTATTTAAAAAACTCCATTTCTGTGTATTTAGGACTATTTAGGACTACTTTGCATGCATTTTGAGTGCTAACCTCCATCTGCGGTTGAAAAAAAAGCAATTTGGGGTAATTTCAAAATTGCCACCAAAAAATGTTATTCATACAATTTATATAAGGAAAATATACGATTAGCGTTTTTTGACAAATTTTTTTTTATTTTTTTAGTTCGATACACCGACTTCTATGTCAAAACAAAAATTTATATTCTTTAGAAATTCGATGACACCATTTTAGCAGAATGTATGAAATTTATTAGTATTTTTTATACATTTATTTCATGGAATTGTATGACTAGCATTTTTGGTCTATGGAGGTCGACCCGGAATGTTATCTGCAGAAATACTGTTTATTCAGCTTGTTGCGCTTTTTCTGCAGAACTAAGACGAATCAAAGATAAGTTTTGAACTAAAAATTAAACAGAATGAAACAAAAACACGAAAACAAACGAATTCACAAAATCACTGTTTTTTTTCTGCTGTTTTCTTCTTGTTGCACTTCTTTTCACCTGATAAGAAATGCCTGACAATATTAAACAATTTTGATGGATATAAGTATTACAGGTGAACGAATGGGTCAACCAATGAGCGTAGAAGAAATGCCACTGAAGTGTAATCAACCACGTCCAGAACTAGATCTGCACGGGTTCTGGCTCGAAGAGGCATGTGATTTACTGATTCATGTTATCAAAGTATTGGAAAGCAGAGGATACAAACAGTTCGAGGAAGATATCGTCAAAATTGCTGAAAATATTCAACGAAATTTTTCTTATCTTTTTTGTTTTATTCCTTATGTTCCAAATGCATATAAAAAATGCAAAAATGCTACAGTTTTGAATATAGCAACCAGGAGCCGGATCTAAGAATTTCTCAAAAGAGGGGGCAATTTTTCGAAATAGTAATTTTTCAAGACCCATTTTTAGCCAGTTTTTTTTCGCCGCAGTGAAAAAACAGCGAAAAAAAGGCGTTTATAGGTATTTATTGGAAGGTTTCGACAAAAAAATTGGAAGTTTTTTCGACGTGCCCCTTAAAATTAGTGTATATTGGCGCCAAGGACGCCTTTATAAAAGTTTTAGGATTGGTCAGCATGAAAGGTGGTCCTAATATAGAACCAGAGGGGGGATCCTTGGGTGGTCAGGTCAGGGTGTCGATTTCCGGGAAAAAAAAATAAATTCGCTACTGATGGCAACAACCATTTTTAAACCTCTTCTATTTTGTATGCAATTAATTTTGGCGATACTTGTATCAAGGTCATTACTGGCCAGGGTCATCACTCAAATTCCGCTGGGCCCCGAATTAAACCCATGGTCGAAGCAATACTCAGTCATTATGGTCACACGTGGGAGTACGGAGGGAGAAACAACCAGAATGTCGGACTTCTGATTGTGACCTTTAGATAGAAAACAACTCGCGCAAAATTGAATAATGATAACGACGTCATTAAAGTTAATTATAACGGATTATAACCTTTACATTTTTTTGCAAAATCATTTGCAACATTTCTGCGTTACTCGCGGTCTACTCGCAATCTAAGCTTGCTCAAATCAACACCCCCCTCACTTTGCCCCCATCCGCATTTGCCCTACCCCCCTTCCCCTAAGTTTATCCCTACGCCCACTCCCATGTTTACTAAAGTTTACCCTCAAACCCAACCCCCCTTCCTTTACCCCCCAGTGTTTGTTTACTATTGAACGGGGACGGGGAAGGGGGATGGGGAAGTGGGTTGTTAAAAGAAGCGATGAAATTTACGTAGAAATGAGATAACTCTGAAAAAACCTGCAAAATTTATGATTTCTTCTCCAAAATTACATTATAATCAATTATAATATATTATGATGGATTATGATTATGAAAAAATTCTGCTTATAATTCATATTTAATGAATTATAATAGACTATATTACATTTTTGAGAGATTGTGATCCATTGTTTTTTAAATTTTATAGATACTGGCTAAAAAATGACAATATAATCGGTTACTATCCGTAGAACTCCAGTGCGGGGTCGAATCTATAACTGAGTTTAAGTTGATATCTGATCAAAAAATGTTACTGACCTTAAGACTTTACAATGTTTTTAAAACTTGACGTTTACAAAAAACAGGATTTTTCTCATCATTTTGATTTTCTGTCAAGGTATCTGTTGTTGTTTTCATAAAGAAAACAAACATTATAATTGTATTTGAATATAAAAAGGTATATATAGAAAAAGGAAAAAACCAGTTTTTGCAATTCTTCCTCCGTCAGGCAATTCGTAATTCTTCTCCCGAAATTTTCATCTTTTTCTTCGAAATAAGGAAGAAAATCAATTATCAGAAAAAACTATAGCTACACTTTTCCAAAAAGATTGGAAATCAGTATATTACTTAACCCTTTTCATTTTTGCACGTTTGAAATAATTTAGAAGAGTTCTCAGCAAAACCAACCGTGATCAAACTTTTTACCCTGCCGGAGAAACAAATTAAGACTGGTCCCAATCTTTTGGCTGTTTCTCCCCGGTTAGACTACCTTGTTCTTACCGTTGATTTTCTTGATGAAGTAATTAGAAAAACGGCGGAAAAAAGCCTGTATGACCAACTTTTTTTTCGTCTGGTAAAAAAAAACCGATCAAAAACACGACATCAGTTTTCCCCAAAATTGAAAAAAAAAGGTCGTAGTTTATAATATAAGACGGAAAACAGCCTAAACTAATTGCTCCTTATCAGGCAATTCTTTCCTCGTCAGGCAATTTCAAGTACAAAGGGACGTATATCTCAAACTAGCCTAAACTCAGGATTAGCGCCTAGATAAGCGATTTCATCAGATTTGCGACATCAAAAAGATTTTTGAAACGTTGCCGAATCCAATACAAAATAGGCGAACTCCAGTGGCAATGTATGCGGAATCCAAACCATCATTAAAGTGCCCGAGCTTGGCGTCGTAATGTTTTTTTTTTGGTAAAAGTGGACAAATGAAACAAAGCTCATCAATGTCCGGAAATCGTTTGACTCCAAAATGATATCTATCGTTTCACAAATCATAATCGGGAAGGTTGAATAAGGGCTTTCCTCTCCCGCAAACATGTGAAGGTTTTTCTTGGTCGAGCAAAGTCGTGACATATGTCTTGTGGTTCTTGCAAAATTTCCTTGAATGCGGATTTTGGAAATTTTTGTCACGCAAAAAGAAAAAAACCTGCAGATGCAGGGTGCAAGCAAGGTCGCGCAGAGTCTTTTTGGTCACGCAAAGTCGCAAAGAAATTTTGTGCTCGCGTAACATATCTTTTTTTTTGGGTCGCGCAAAACCGAGACGTATCTTTTTGGGCCGGGCAGGGTCACTCTCAATTCTTAGGTTGCATAAATTTGCGGCATACCAATTTTGAGTCGCACATGCCGCATAATTACTTTTTGGGTCGCGTAAAATCCACAAAAGTTATTGGATGCCGCAAAATCACGACACACCTATTTTGAGCGATAATTTTTTCAACATACACGTTTTGGATTGGACGATTGCAATATAACTAATTTAGGTGGCTATGGTCGCATCATAGTAGGCGACCTCGGCCCGGGTAACAAGTTTGTAGGACTTAATATCCTGTCTTCTTATTTTTCTAATTTCTCACGTGCGAGAACATAAATAAATAAGAAGGCAGGATGTTTAGTCCTGAAAACTTCTGGTAACTAATGAATTTTCTGGGGAACGAAGAACACTGTGTGAGTAAAGTCGAAAACTGAAAGACCAAAACATAATTACCGAAAATAATGGCAGTTCGTTATTCTTTGCTGACCTGTTACTTCGAATAATTACGGTTATTTAACGTATGAAATTAAATGTTTTCAATCAGTAGCTACCCGAAACCGATCTACCTGAACCAAAACGAGGAAACAAATATGGTGTGCTGACCCAGCCAGGAGCAGTTCCTGAATATGCGAGCTGTCCCGGCCGACTTTGGAGCTCTCACCTCTTCTCGCTCTGTTGGGGGGGGGGGGGGGGCGAGGATTTTCGCGCTAGAATTCAGAGCGAGAAAAAATAAGGTCATAACTAATGAGTTTTCCGGTGAACGAAGAACAGTGTGTGCGAAAAATCGAAAACTGAAAGACCGAAACAAAATTCACAAGTTTATGAGGCGCTGTTTTAAATTGATTTATGTGTACTATTATGAAATTCATTTTGCGTTCTTTATGTCATTGAATTCTGCTTTTAAATGCCAAAACTTAAGGCAGTTCGCTATTCTTTGTGGGTTTTTAATTTCCGACAATTACGGTTGCTTTATGTCAATCAGCCAGCTACCCGAAACCGATCTACCCAAAACCGAACCGAGACAGAAATATTCCAGCACACATTTGTCGGATGAAATTAACTGCTTTTTTGCTTATATGGCATATTACACGGATAGTTATTTGTGGTATCCTGCTATAAGACTTGTGTGGTCTATATCTCAATCTCTGGCGACAGAGTGATATTTGTGCGAATAATTGAATCGAAAGTAGTGTCAATAAACTGAGTCGATACTTTTCACCTGTTAGAATCAGTCGATAAATCGTATCTTTCATTCCAAGTCATCGTACCAAAGTTAAGATTGTTTCTCAATAGTAACTTTAGTACTGTAGAGACTAAACAAAGTATACTCTAAGCATGACTTCTGTCAGGAGATTGACTCCAGTGCAACTAATCGAGAAGAAGCGAGACGGATTCAAATTGAACGAGACTGACATCGAGACCTTTGTGGGGTCTGTGATCGGATCTGAGGGGTTCGAGAAAATGGAGGACGCCCAGATAGGAGCCATGCTTATGGCCATATTCTTCCAAGGACTCGACTCGGACGAAGAAACGTATCTGACCGAGTACATGCGGCGCTCGGGCGAGATCCTCTCGTGGGACGAGTCGTCTGCAGTCGTAGACAAACACTCGACCGGAGGCATCGGCGACAAAGTGAGCATTCCGTTGGCACCCATGTTGGCAGCGGCAGGTGCCAAAGTGCCTATGATTTCCGGCAGAGGTTTGGGTCATACTGGAGGCACGTTGGATAAATTGGACTCCATTCCTGGATTTGGAGCTGCCAAAAGTATGGAACAGATCAAAAAGGCTGTCAATGATGTGAGTATAAGCTCAGCCCAATTGACTTGAAAAATTATATAAACATTTTCCGTAAGTTGTCTTTTTGGTTATTTAATTCTGGCCTAAATTGAACTGATTTATTAATAGAAATTAAAAACTTTGGGTTACTTTTTGATCAATTTTGGTTTAAAGTTGGTACACTAAAATAGGTCTGTATTTATAATTTTGGTTTACAAATCCAATTTTGGATTTAAATTTTGTTCAAAATTAATTTTGACCTGCCGAAACGAAACAAGAAATAAAAGATCCATAACAAGCTTCTCACCACCAAAATCTGAATCAATGACTGCCCATACAGATTGCCTGAAAGTTCCTGTCTTGATAAGAGAAAAATGATGGACAAGAAAAATGATGGATAAATTGGTACCGAAAAAAGAGCAAATAATTATATTTTATTCTTTAACAACCTTGCAAAACAATTGGTTAAGCTATGATTTGATGTATTATCTGAGCACATAATTTAATTAGAGCCAAATCCAATAGTTTGTTTATGCTTCTACTTTTTTATGCCGTGTCAGGTTGTTTGAAAGTGAGACGGAACTTTGTCTTCGGATGGGCTTCGGTTTTTCTACTCTTTTCCGCGCTAAAACAAGTGCCACATATAATCATCAGTTTAGACCGATAGATATCATACTAAAGCCACTTCTAAGTTGTAAGTCGAACGACAAAAAATTTTCGAGAAATCTACTCACTTGCTTTTCTTGTCTAATTTCGGGCCCGGTGCAAATATCCGGTGCAAATGTCAAACATCCGAACTTATTTAAAACTTATGTAATACTATGACATTAGAATTTCAAAAACAAGCCATAGTTCAATTCTCCGGTTCCAATTTAGCGGATTCTCGGTTTAAGGTCGCCGGATGGCGTGCTACGCGCGCGTCGCCGCTTTGCAGCGATAACCGGCTCTAACTTTCATACAGAGTCCTACCCTCTATTGGCAAGCTGGCAAGAGCTTGGCGCGACCGCGGCGATCCGCCTTCAACCGACCACTATAGCATCTGTTAAACGAACGCTATAAATTGGATGTTTACCCTATTAGAGCAGTTTTTAGGATGTTTGCATCACTTTTTGGTTATTGAGCAGTGAGAAACTTAGTATTACTCCAAAAAACCAAGTTTTTGACTCTTCGTTTAGCGCTTCCTTGTCAAAAAAAAATTCAAAATTCAATAAAATTTTTTGAAGCAAATAAATCACCAATTTAGCACCAAAAAATGTTTGAAATATATTCTTCATTGTTTTGGTTTTTGTATTTATTGGAAGATAACTGTATTCAATTATGGTTTGATCTTTAAAATATTAAAAAATTAATAAAAAATAGATTTCTTGACAGATTTCAGTAAGCTTTGCTTCAATTTTTGTTAGTTACATCTCTTTTTTGCCCGTTACATCTCTTTTTTGGACAGTTAGAAGTCTTATAAAACTCATAAATTTTTTTAAAAATTCTTTGCTATCTTTGATAATTTTTCAAAATTTTTCAAGATCCTGGCAAAATTTTCAAGATGATTAGACCTGGGAAGCTTCTGCTTTTCTTTTCATCAAACCACGCGTAAAAACGGCAGAAACTTGAAAAAAAAAGTTTATTTCTTTGAATGTGTTCGGAAGTTGCTTCAGATTGGGTGTATTATTGTGGGCACTACTGACAAGATCACGCCCGCAGACAAGATCCTCTACAAGTTCAGAGACATCACAGGCACTGTATGGATCTTTGGACTCATCTACGGTTAGAATCATTTAATACAAAGATAAACAAGTGTAGCCTGCCTGTTGCACTAGAAGTAGCATAAACAAACAAGAAAAAAGATATTCAAGGTTGAATTCGCAACAAAAACTGCGCAAAAACTTTTAACTTCTTTCATCAAAGCGGTGGTCCCTTTAAAAGTTGGCTCCAGAAAACTGATCCCGCACCGAGTTTCAAGGATAAAAAAACGTTTATACCGGAAAATGTTGTCTAAAATGTCCTTATAATCCATTGACCCATTGATTATTGTTGCAAATTTACCGCGACAACTCTTAATTGTCATTATAATCGATTAATGCGTAAAAATTCAATCCGTTGAAATCCAGTAAAATTCAATAAAATTGGGTAACAGTTCATTAAAATAATTTAATAGGAGTGGAATGGAACCAGTTTAAAACTAGTATCTATAACCAAATATATTCTTGATGAAAGTATCTTTATGAAGTATTTCTTACAATCCAATCATGTTCCATAACTAACACTGACAATTATTTGTAGTGCTGAAAGTACTCGTATTTTCCGCACCAGAATAATTTGAAAATAACTTAGAAGACAGTTGTTCTCCTTTTGTTCTCCAAGCTCCAGATATCTAACCCGCAAATACCAATATACGCTAGATCTATTGAGTCTATGAAATATAAAAGTAAGATTAAGATCGGTATTAGACTAAGAAGCTGCATGAATCAATCCGGCCAAAAATAAGATAGCGTGACGAACAGACGGTGTACCATATCTGAAATTACTCGATGAGTAAGCTACTCCAAGCTTAAACTCATCTGAAGCGACCAAAATTCTCGATCAAGACCTACTAAAAACTTACTTAGATTTAGCAAATTAGAATCAAAAATAAGATCAACAAACATATAGCTAAATTGCAAACTGTTAGATAGCATAGACAATTTAATAAGTATGTCTCTATGTCTCAATACGTCTACTCCATTATTGCAAGGAATACAGCAAACACCAGGTCAAAAATTGATCAGCAGAGTAAGCTTCTAAATTGTGAAATGACGCAAACTTCAAAGAAATGACGCAAATTCTCTTCAAAGTTCTCAATGCAGTAGATTTCCATTCTCTAACATGAAATAAAAACTACTTGGAGCCTTACGATCCCTTTTCGAGCTATATACTTCTTGAAGTTGAAAAATCATATTATATAACCAGCAGAAAAAACGATCAAAAATTACACAAATCGTTCCTTTCATCAAATCTGAAGTAAATTGAAAACTTCTGTAAAAATAAAAGTTATTGATAAAAAATACAAAAATTAGTTAGTAATAAAAGTAAAGTAATTTTTATTTAATTTATCAAAAATCTTTGCTTTTCAAGGAACCTAATCATCTTCGCGTTCTTTTTTCTCGTTCTCTTCATCCTTGGTTCCTCATCTAAAACATAACCAAAATTGTTTAAAAACTAAAATCATCTCAATTCACATTATAGCAACCATTTATTCCCAAATGTAAATATTCTAATTCTCTTGAAACTTAAATCTAAACCTTATCAAGGACTATCCTTGTTTTTTATTACTCTAAATTTTCTTGAAAAATTAGATTATCAGAGCTATCTTTGGATTATTCGACTTCAAATTAATTTTAGAGTTTTAATTACTAAATTTCTCACTTACAAGCTATTTATTTAATATGCAATGTAAAAAGATTTCTGAGAGAAAACGGAACGAGCAGCAAAGGGAGATGAAAACTCGGCGACATTCCGACTCTGGAATGGCAAATCTGTTGATTTGATGCCGTAATCACAACCCTCACAGGATTTAAAAAATGGACTCAATATCGCAGCAAAGGAAATCATTGAAAAAGACCATGGCCAACTCGATGTTGATCTCACATACCGATCCTAGTCACTTGGCACTTCACACAGAAGAGTCGAAGTTGATCTTGTGTCAGCGAGCGACGACCCAACACTTACGAGTGCAATCGAGCGACCGGTTTTCTGTGCGGATCCTACACGGGATAAGGTTAGAGCCCTCGTTTCGACTTTAACAGATAGGTTTCCTTTTCTGGATTCACTGTTAAAGTCAATCCCCTCTCTTCCTTTTTTCCGCTCCGCTGTTTTTAAGGCTTGGCAAATAGGTTTCCCTCTCGGGATTCATTGCAAGCAAGTCTTACAGCAAGCAATCATTACCTAATAGACCCATATCGATATAATTGGTGAGACCAGGACCCGCCTTGGTTCGGTAGATGCGAACAACTATCGCTCACTTGATCAAATTCTGTCTGCTCACGACGATGATTTAAACAAGTTCCTAAGTAAAACGAAAAAAGACAACATTGTTTGTCTATTCAAAGAATTCAACGAAAAAGAGAGCATTCAGAACGACCTTAATGCTATCAAAACTTCAATAAAAAAGTGCACGATGACGTTAAAAGATCAGCAATGTCAAAAACGCGATCAGCAGGGGGAACTTTCAACGGTAGCTACATCTCAGCACTGTTGAAACAGAAAAACTCCGAAGATGATAAAACATGTTAGGTGAGGATCTCCGGTATACTTTCTTTGAGTCACAAATTGTTGGCTTTCTTTGAGTCACAAAACTGACTAATTTACTGATTATTCGATTCTTATTTTTAATACCCGAAGCTTAGTGAACTCAAGTAGGCGCACATCTCTATCAAACTTTGTCGTCACCAACAATTTTGACATCATCTGTTTAAGCAAAACATGGCTCACAATTAACATCAGCGACTCCGAAATATTCCTCCCTGGCTTCAATATCTTTCGTTCTGACAGAAACACCAAACAAAATGAAAAAACAGCCCATGGTGGGGTCCTTATTGCAACAAGGTCTGCACTAAAATGCCATGAAATCTCTCTTCCTGACCAATTTCAAGGTTATTGCACCGCTATAAACTGGTAAACTTCCGAAGCCACATTACTAATTGCCACATGCTATTTCCCCCATCCTAGCAGCAAATTTTATCTTCCGTATTTGTCACCTAATGGAATTCTTATCGAACTGCAATGCAAATCATCGTATAATGAACGGAGATTTCAAGCTTTCTTCAATTGACTGGTCCATTCAAGCCTCAGAACCGCTCCATCAATGTATACTTGACAAAATAGATAAATTAAGCTTAACTCAAACTGTTCATTTCAAAACAACGAACGCTTCTATACTTGACTTAGTCCTTGTTAGCAACCAGGTTGAAATAATCGACACCCTACCACTCGACGTATTTACTGCACCAAAATCTGATCACAAACCTATTAACTCTATAATCCGCAATAGAGGAACTCAAGAAAAGCTCCACTTTTAGTAAAACCAGTTTCAATAGCTATTGCAAAGCTGAATTCAACGGTTTAAACGATGCGTTTTCAATCAACACCTTCTCACCTTACTGCTGGTCAAATGTTACAAAAATAGTGGAACTATGGTACGAATGAAATCATAGCTTTATGTACAAAATTCATCCCGCGTAGAACTCAACATAGACAAAATCTTCTTCCTTGGATAACTCCTGAGACGTCAAATTCAATGAAACGTCTGTCAACATTACGCAAACAAAAAGGTTCGCAATGTGCCTCGGTGATTGCAATGAATGAAAAGGTACAAACCGCCGTAGAGAATAACAAAAGCCAATACGAACAACATTTGTCTAACTCGCGTGATACTAAAGCCTTGTTTAAATACTATACAAAAATCCGTAACTCAGAACTACCTTCCGTCATGAAACTTGATAATTCAGTTGCGAAAACCTTGCCAGAGCAAGCTAATCAATTCGCCAAATTTTGTATTTCAGTATTTATAATCCCTCTCAACCATCCTGTCTTTAAAAACAAGAGCAATCAATTAAACAAATAATTCATAATATAGAACCAGACAGGAATCTGATTGCCAAACTGTGAAATGATCTAGATCTAAGTAAGTCGAGAGGTCCCGATCTACTACCTATTATATTTAAGCAATGTATTGAATCTTTAACGCCCTATCTCTACCATATCATATATAAAGCACTCCAGACCGGTTGTTTCGCTGATCAATGGAAACACTCTATTGTCAGCCCAATTTTCAAAACGAAAGGAAGCAAGGCCTCGATAAGTAACTACAGACCAATATCACTACTTACTATTGTCAGCAAAATCTCCGAAAAAGTTATTTTCATCGATCTATATAAATATCTAGAACCTATGTTGCACAACAACCAATTCGGATTTCGCGCGAAAAGGTCAGGGACCATCAAAATGCTGCTCTATCTTGATACTATATATTCAGCTATAAGCAAAAATGAAGAAGTAGACGTAATATATACCGATTTTGAGAAAAAGTTTGACAAAGTATATCACTGTATTCTGATTGATAAGCTCTACTCATTGGAATCAGAGGCAAAATATTAAAGCTAATTTATAACTACCTGACAAATAGAACACAATGTGTCAAAATCAAAGACTGTCTGTCCCAGTCATTCTATGTCACAAGCGGTGTTCCTCAAGGATCAATCCTCGGGCCATTGTTTTTTCTTGTCGTGATTAACAACCTACCAAGTGTATGTAATCATTCCACCAGCTTTCCATATGCATACGACGCAAAGTTCATACGAATTGGTACACTCAACGCAGAATTTCAGCTTGACCTAAATAACATCTTCACGTGGACTCAACAAAACTAGATTGCGTTCAATTGGTCAAAATGCATTCACCTACCGGTTAAGAGTCCCACAAGCAGCGAATTTTACTTCGACTCAATTTTAATTAAGAAAGTCTCAGAAGAAAAAGACCTAGAAATAATTGTAAAATCGGATATAGGCTGGACATCGCATATTAAATTTAGAAGAAGAAAAGCCTCCAACACTCTATGCATGCTTAAGTGCAACCCACTGCCTCTTAATACCAAGACCAAACTAAATCTGTTCAAATCCATGGTAATTCCAATTTTGCTAGACGGTTCAGTGTGCTATCAATTGAACGTCGAAGAAATGAAACTCTTTGAAGGTGTTCAACGCAATGCATGCAAATGGATAGAAACAGACCCTAATTACAGAATGTCGCCTCAGCGTCTAGGAAAACTGCCTTTACCCATGTACATTCAGCTCAATAATTTACTTCTACTATCTAAAATCCTCAATAATCACACGACTACAACTTTTTTGACCGTTTTCGCCAAAAAATGACCTAGCTAATTCAAGATCTCGTTTATTTGAATGTACACGCCCTACAAAATTTGTTTGTGAAAAAATTTTTTGGTTTCATGCAAAGAGGCTGGCTATTTTGATTCCTCAAAAAGTGGACTTTACCAACACGATAGGACTCAAAGAACGGTTGCTGCAATGGATGAGGGAGCATTTCGAGAAAAGATTCGATGACTCCAACCCCTGTAGCTGGAAAATTCTGTGCGACTGTACCCGAAACAACTGCATAAATATGTCTAACTAACTGAACTGAAACTGTGAGGGAAACCCCTTGCGTACGCTAATTCATATTATCATTATAGTCTCGCTCTAAACTTAAAAAAATCAATACATCAATGCCTCAATCTGAAATTTTGACACGATCACTGAAGACAATCTAGGATAAACGAGACCCACTACTGAAGACGAACAACTGTTCTCACTCTCTCTACGAAGACATATACATCTCTCCTTCCTTCATGCAGTCATTGCTTCGAAAGAAAACTGCTCCGAAAACCAAAAAATCTTTCCATCCATTCTTCACTACAATAAACAATTTGAAAACTAAAATACTCGTGTTGAAACTATCTCTAAAAATATTTCTTACTAACCAATCAAGATCCATAACTAACACTGACAATTGTTTGTAGTGCTGAAACTACTCGTATTTTCAGCACCAGAATAAATTGAATTTAACTTAGAAGACAGTTGTTCTCCTTTGGAACAAGTTCCAGATATCCAAGCCGCAAATACCAGTATACGCTAGATTTTTTTAGACTAGGAGATATAAGAGTAAGATTAAGACCGGCATTAGACTAAGAAGCTGCACGAATCTATATGGCCGAAAATAATATAGCACGCGAAGAGAGAGTGTACCTTATCTGAAATTACTCTATGAGTAAGCTACTCCAAGCTTAAATTTAGTAATCAGGGGTGAATTTAGGGGGGTAACGAACGCAAGCCCCCCCTCCCCCCACACCTCAGAGATTCGACACCCTGCCGACCCAAAGGGTCTCCCTTTGGTACTTTCTAAGAAATCTATTGCTAGCCAACCGACCCTAAATTATTCCGAAAAATTCTCAAAAACAGCTTTTTAACCAAATGTGCCCAACCGGTTTTGGCCAAAACTTTTGCCCAATTAGGGTCTTTATAGTGTTCTAGGAAACTCAATTTGGTCGACTTAAAAAAAAGTTGACTTTTTTTATGAGAGTATATGAGAGTTTGTTTTGCAACCCCCCCCCCCCCCCCCCCCGAGCATATCCTAGTTCTGCCCCTTAGTGTAAACGAGTAGAAACATTTCGAACTTATTAGATTTTTTCGTTATAAATAAACTTTCCTGGCCTGATGATTTTGTGGTGCTGTGCTTTTTCAGCGTCTATTCTGAGCAAGAAAGCGGCCGAGGGTGTGAAGCACTTGTTGCTCGACCTCAAATGTGGAAATGGGTGTTGGCTGGACAAATTTGAAAAGGCGGAGAAGGCTGCCGACGGTTTCAGAGCCATAGCTGCTGGACTGGGAATCAACTGTATTTGCATGATCACCAACATGGACACGCCTTTGGGCTTCTGTGTGGGAAACGCCCTCGAAATTGAAGAGTCGATTGATTTTCTAAAGAAGAACAAGGCACGAGCGAAGGATCTGGAGGAACTCATTGTTACGCAAGGTATTTTGTCACGCAATATCAACAATGCAGTCATCTGGCATGCGTTTGTGGTGGTACAAAATGCATTTTGATAAATATAAAATGAGTTTGTTTTAGTGTGTACTATCTATTATCCAGTACAAACCGTTTTTTCTTTTTCAGGAGCGGTTCTCTTACACTCAAGTGGGTTGTGCTCTACAATTGAAGAAGCCAAGAAAAAGATGCTGTCCACTATTGAAGACGGGTCAGCTCTGAAGAAGTTTGAGCAGATGATCATCGCCTCTGGTGCTACAGCAGAAGTCGCCGCCCAGCTATGTTCCGATCGGCTTGACTGCTACTCGTGTCTTCCCCAAGCGGATTTCCAACATAGAATCTTAGCTTCTGCTTCTGGTTAATTTCATCTTAATCATTAAATCAACTCCGTAGTGAGTTAGGACTGGAGTGTATAACTCATAGAGTAATTTCGGATAGGGTACACCGTCTGCTCGTCACGCTATCTTATTTTCGGCCGGATAGATTCGTGCAACTTCTTAGTCTAATACCGATCCTAATCTTACTCTTATACTATCTAGTCTCAGGTTGTTTAACTAGTCTCTGCTAGGCTCAATAGATCTAGGGTATACTGGTTTATTGCGGCTGCTGAAGTGCTCGGGAGAGTCCAACTAATTTCTAAGTTAAATTCAAATCTCTCTGGTGCTGAAATTACAAGTAACTTCAGCACTTACAAATAAGTGGGTTGTTAGTTAGATGGATCATGATTGGTTAATATTAAATACTTTACATTGGTAAAATATCTAATTTATCCAATCATAAAATGTAGTTTAGATCAGGTTCCACCCATCCGGGTTTTACAGAGTTTTTTAGAATAGTTCTTCTGCAATTTGAAGGATGGATGATGGACGTTGGTTTTTGGCGAACATCATTTTCTTCCGTTTCCTCTTTGTTAAAGAAGTTCCAGGAAGCTGGAGTTAGAGACATAAGACGTTGTGTCTTCTAGTGACAACGACTAAGTCTTTGCAACAAACTCAAATCTGATTTCAGAATGGTTGGCTATGTCAGGTTTTTCTGTTCTGCGTGGAGAACTTCTTTTGTGTCTGATCTAGTTTGGGAATGGCGTGGAGATTGTGCGTGGAGGGGATGCCTGGTTACTCGGATCTGTACGTATACTTGAACATCGAGGTGGTCATTGGTCTAGTTCAATGAAGTCCTTTTCTGCGAAGTCAAGTCGTACTCTAAATCCTTTGAGTTGTGATTGTGAGTGGCATATCGATGGTGGTTGGTCATTCTCTCTCGAGTGTAGTGGGGTCGTTTTGTCTTTAGATGTTCGTCCTTGGTGTTGTATTCTGATCTATGTATTGCATAATGTAATTTACATTTTATAAAACATTTATTAGTTTAATATTTTTTAATTATGATTTTAGTTAGTTGTTTTCACAAAAGCTTTTTGTTTTAGTTCGGTTATTTTGAAGAGTTACTCACCCTTGAGTAGCTCTTATTAAAAATAGAGGTGTGGTCACAAAGCGTGGATGTAGCGCGGTGGGTTAGGCCGGCTATAGAGCATGCTCAGGACGTCCTTCCTGGTGGGTTAGGCCAGGAGTGGGAGTATGATTTCATGCGGTTTTTATGAGGGGTCCTGTTATGTGACAACGTTTTATGTTGGGTTTGTTGTGGTTTTTCTTATGTCTTGTTGGTTATGTCCTTTTTCCAAAAAGCAAATTGTTCGTGGTATGGGTTTGTCTTTCGACTTTTTTGTGTTTTATTATTTCTTTTTTAGACTTTATAATAGTCTTCAAAAGAATAAATTATCCAGTTTTAAACTGGGTTAATCCGGTTTGGGTACCGTTGGTTTCCTTTTCTTAGTCATGCTGTTATTCTATGATTTGTGGTATTTAGTAAGCTGCGTTGGTTAGTTTTGTTTAGTATATGATTCCTTTCCAACCGGGTTAAAGGAAGGTTTGAAACATGTTATTATATGTTAGAGTTGTTGAGTGTGAAAACTTGAAACTGAAATTCATTATTTTAAACAATTCTTCGTGGGCGAGCTGTGCGAGTGTGGATAGAATTTCTGTGCGAATGAATGAAAATATCAAAAGGTTAGTACTGCATTTGCATTTTATTAATTTACTGCATAGAATTTGGAAATTTACTGCTAGTTATGGGGGAATTTTAAGTTACAAATTTTCATCATAATTAGATTTACTGCTTGTGGGGAAAATTTTAGAAATGAATTTACTGTATTGGTATTAAATTTATAAATTTATAAGTGTAAGAGATTAATAGAATTTTTGAAATCTGTTTGATGAAATTTGCGATTTTTATTTGTCTTTTGTGGTTTTTGTAGGTGATTGTCGGATGAAGGCTAAAAATCTAAAGAAAACATGGATAAAGTATGGTGAGTTTTTTAATATTTTAATTAGTTAGTAATATTTATTTAATTCATACTTACCTGTTAGTCGTCGGGGAAAAAACCGTGGGGGAAGATGTCGTGGATGAGATCGGAAGTTGTTAGTAGTTTAGCTAAGATGCGGATGATATTTTTAGTCTGAAGCAGTGGCCAAAGCAATTGAAGTGCCTTGATAGTGGTTAGTTCTTCAGTGCCAACTGCAAACTCATAAGGTGTGTTTTGGATTAGATTATATAATTTGTGATTGAATTTAGTGTTGTGGATGAATTCTAAAATTGGGATTTCTATAGGTTGTACAAACTCGTGCGGGATAAGGAAGGGTCGGGATTCTTCGGCGTTGAAGGTCTTGGTGATGGGACAGAAGATGTACATTTGGGTTATGGGATCATAATTGCGAAGAATACCATGAAGGTTAGTATCTTTAATGCAATATGTGAAATTTAGGAAAAATGGTGAAGTGTATTTGGAATTAATGAATTGAAAACGATGGTGTGGTTGTCTAGAGGGTGTGTGTAGGTCAAAGTGATTTTGGATGAAGCGATAATAACTATATGTGTGGGTTTGTTTAGTGCGCAACATAATATCGTGTGAGCAGTGTAAATCTCTTTCGTGTGGTGCAAGGAAATGAAAGGTTAGTGAAAATATTTGGAAGCGTTCTTTAAAACTTTCGTATGCTTGTGTGTCTGTTAGTGCTTCTGAAATAATGTGATCAAACTTTCGGTCGAAGATGTTTAGTGTAAATATATATGGTGTCTTGATGAAAAATTTCTCGGTAATTTGTGGATTAGCGAAGCGATCGTCGTCTAAGAATTGATCTTGGTTAGCTCTGATGATGTTGTGATCATAGTATTCGAGTGTATATTCGTTAGCTCTAGGTGCAGTGTGTGTTTTTAGTGATTTTTTATATCCAACGTAAGTAAATTGTCTAGCGGTTAGTGGTGTAGTGAGTCGATATAGCATGTCCGTATTTCGCTCTATATCGATGTGAGTGTTAGATAAAGGTAAGCAAAGAGGGTTAGTAAAATGATAATATGAGGTCCAAGAGAGAGTGGGCATTAAAACGTATTCATCTACAAAGTTGCGTGTTTCGTTAGTGTCGTGGGGGGTGTTTAAGGTGTATTGTGGGAATGAGGGTAAGGTGATGGCTAAAAATTCTTTTGTGTTAGTATGCTTGGGGTGGTTGATGTATTCACGGGCTGTTCCTGGTTTTGCTGGGAAAGGATGGTTGGGGAACTTTCTTTTAAAAGTGCGGTAAGCTCTATTAGTGTTGAGTGAAGATTCAGTTGATGTGGATGATGGTGCTAATGATTCAGTATAATTTGAAGAGGGTGTAGGGGTAGGGGGGTTGGATGAATTTATTGTGGAGGAGATTTGGTTTATTGTTGGGGTATGGAGGTGGTAGGGTTGTTGTTGAAGGGTAATAAAATTATCTAGCTCTGGGGAGATTCGGGGGGTGTCTGGAGAATGAGATGATTGGTCAGAATGAAGTGAGGAGTAGGTTGGGGTAACTTGGGAAGCATAAGAGGGTGTGGAAGTGATTGGGTCAGGGTTATTGGATAATATGGGTTGAAAAGGGGGTTGAGAAAAATTAGAAGAGTTATGAAAATTATTGGATGGGGATGGTTCTGAGTCGGCAAATTCATCGGGGGTTTCAATATTCGGGTTATTTAGCTGTGAGATGGAGTATAAAACTGAGATGTGTGAATTAGTGTCGGAATTCATGCCTGATGTTACATTACTAGATGGAAAATCGGGTGGCGGAAAAGCAAAAAGTGGTATTATTGGGATTGGAGAGGTAAGATTGGTTGGGTGGGAATTTGATCGGTGTAGTGATCCAAGTTGGCGGCTCATCGTGGGCTAAAAAAATGATTATTTTGAGACTGAAAAGCGGTGGTATGGGGTTGTTCAATAATTTGTTCATAAGTATTTTGATCTTGTGACTGGTGTGTCATTATATGTTGGATGGGACTTTGTGATGTGGTGAGTCGAAAATTTGGATTATGTGTGATGGCTAAATTTCGAAAATTTCGTGGGACTAGGGATAGTGGATGGTTATTTGGTAGGGGTGGTAATTGTGGTGCCGTTGGCGTTATGTCTACATTGTTATGTTCTTCGTCGTATGTATTTTGTCGTGTTGCTATTTTTGTGTCATATTCTTTTATTTGTGCGTCTAAAAGAATTTTGTTTATAGATGTAGAAAAGATTCCAAAAAATCCTGCAAAGAGTATGCGTGCTACGCTTGCTTGTCTGTTTACTTGTGTGTGTATAGCACATGTGTTGTAGATTCCTTTTAAAAGTGAGAAAAGAAATCCAATAAAGTTAAACATTGCGTATAAAATAGTCAATTTTTCTAAGATGTAGTAGGGCCATCCTAGAAAATCGAGGATCTCATTTTTGAGTGTAACAAAGCTAAAAATGTTAATTGGTGATATATCTTGGGGACGGTATTTTTCACCGTTTAGATATATATAATCTTTAATGTCTTTAAAATATCCGCTATAGTCTTGCGTGTAGATATCGGCAAATCCTGCGGTTTCTGCAAGTTTGCGTAAATTTTGATCTATTGATTGTCTTTGTATAGTGTCCATTTGTGTTAATAATTCTTGGAATTGTTGTGTTCTAATGTGATGTTGAATATCTGATTTTGAATAGATTCCTATTGATTGTAAGTCTATATTTGGGTTTCGAGCAATAGCGCGAATGCTTTCTGGTGAAAATTTTTTGAGTGATTGCATTAATGTGGGATATGGAGTGAGAAGATAATATTTATTTTCATCAGGGTTTAGTTGTACTACATTGTGGCTGTTTTCTGATCCACATGGGACTGCGGTATCCCAGAAATAGGTTCTTCGTGAAAGTGTATCTACGAAATGTACTTTATTCTTATAAAAGATAGGGATTCTTTTATAACATCGTTTATCTTCAAAAACGTATAGTGGTGATACTTTTTTAGTACAAGTATAAAACCATAAGATGTTTCCTTCAT